GAGATAGCTGCCCCCAACCACAGATTTCTCACCAATTGAGCTGATGTTGCATTTGATGACCGGTCATGACCTCGGTACCACCCACAACGCAATGCAGTGCCACCTTAGGCCAATGCCACATCAGCATGCTCTCATCACCAATCAAACATTCCGCTGTATCCCACGGCTAATAATGTCGTCAATAGCCTTCCGGTGCACCCCTCTCTACCTAGGGCGTGCACCTAGTGTAGCCTGACGTCACAAGTACCCACTGCGAAGAAGCATCATCAACGCACCAAGTCTTTATAACGCCAGCGTGCCAAAGGTAAGTGGCGATTAAACCAGCTCCGATACCAAATTGCAAGGAACATGGGTATGGACGATGCACAGAAATCCAGAATGCAAAATCACACTGAAGTCCAAGAATTCAAAGCCAAAGCAGATAGCACATGGAACCGAGTAACCATCCCATTGAGAATGATACAGAAGAATCGTGAGTCAATGTCCATGCCCACCAGGGCAACACCAACAGCATAACCCAAATGTAGCTCTCTCTTGTGAATAGCGTCAGGCGCCCTATCTACTCTACAACCTATCCTACAACTACAACAATGAACAGCAACCAGACAACTTGACTACCAGCGAGTGATGATGTCAACACCAATGCAGATCTCCACCATCACCAGGTACGTGTCCTCTTCCCCACACTCTCCCTTGTTACCCACACAACGCCCTTCACCTCCGAAGTACCACCTTCGCCCTCACCTCCCCTGCACCCTCATGCGGCCCGGCTATGGCCGCCAGTGCCCTGCACGCAGGCAGCGCCCTATTGCCTAGTGCTGGCCTGCCCAGTCTTAGCGCAGCGCTGCTCTGCATAGCGCTGCACACTTGCATCTGCGCAGTGTGCCCGCATATACCAGCATTGGCCAAGATCCCCGTTGCCTCGCCCTGCTTGCCTATATGCCAGTGCAGCGTGTGGGCGGCCTCCCTTCAGCCTGTGACCGGGGCCCAAAGGCTGAAGCCAACTCGATACAGTTGGCCCCTGGGGCAAATGCAGTTGCGCCTCCTTCATCAAGGCCTGCGGCCAGATTCAGACAGTGGGCCGATTTCCCTTTGGCATTTTCGGCCTCTCTACCCAGCATGCATTGTCGGCCTCACGTTCGAGTACCCAGGGCCTAACTAACTCAGAGGCCCTTGGTATTTCAGCATTTGCTGAAATCCAAGACTCGGTGCACTCCAACCAACTGGCGTGCTGCAACTGTATAGACCCCACTTCGTGAAATGTTGGCACAGAGGGCTCTAGTTGATTTGCTGGCCCGCCTTCACTTAGGGCGGGCACTAGGCTTGCTGGGGCCTTAGCCCAGAACATGTACATCATGGCAAGGCCCCTACTTGAGGGCTCAACCCTCACAACACTTCAAGTTGATCACCCCTTCAGCATACGATGGGGCAGAGGGGAAAGCACCCATGGCAAATATTATGTTCTGTGAATTAAACTGAATTTGACTTTATACAATAATTCAATTTCCTTCTGCAATCCCGCAAAATTCTCATGGTCCTGAATGCACAACATAATACCACTTCCCACGCACCACACGTGCAGTGGACATCAAACCAAAGTGGGACTTGTAATGAACCCAGTCTAGTAGATACTCAGAAGTCGTCAAACACAAGTAGTCTTAGTATCTGAAACAGAGTCACCAAATTGTGAAGTGATAAATCAAACAATAACTCGTTAACATTACACGAAGAGAGTGGAGGGGGATCAGACAGAAGAGAAGGTGGAAAGATCACAAAAGAGTTATTCCGTCAAACCCCTCTCCTTCTCCGGGCTTCTTCTCTCTCCACCTCAACAACCAGAAGATGATAACAAGTATAGTAGTCCTGATCACACACAGTAGTGCCACGTGGCACTCTTATCTCATGAAGACCATGAAGACAGTAGATTTAGTGACGACGTCAACCTCAGGTGAGTACCCAATCTCTCTTATCCACAGATCCCGATCTTCCTCCTCCTCGCAACCAGTCACCTCATGTAGACAGTGTGGACAATACCACATTAGCAGACGAGACAGGTGGCATATGCCACATTATCAATGTAGACCAGATGCAGCGACACATCAGCATGCCATGAAGACCAGAGGCAGCGCCACATCAGCATGCAATGAAGACCAGAGGCAGCGTCACATCAGCATGCCATGAAGACCAGAGGCAGCGCCACATCAGCATGCTATGAAGACCAGAGGCAGCACCACATCAGCATGCCATGGCGAATGCCAACATGCTGCCTCCTTCCCGTGCCGTTGTTCGCAACGCCTGAACACATCTAGCATGTAGCCAGCGTCGCGCCAGCATGAAGCCAGCGTCGAAGCAGCATAGCCAGATTGAATGCTGACCACCTAGGCCAGTTTTTAAGTAGCATTTGGCGAGGCTCTTTGGCCTCGGGTCTCCTTCCCTCAGTCGTCCAAATTGAATCACAGCCGAAGGCCTGGATCGTACAGTTGCAGACATTCCCCTTGGACCTTATGCTGTCTGGGTACCTGCATACAAACAAGTGTGTGTGCTTGACCGACGGCCTGGACTGGGTACCTTTGGACTGTTGGGGTCACGGCAGTTGACAAAAGTCAACTGTCTCACGTCCAGGCGTGTGGGGTCTTTGCCCCTGTTTTCGGCCTGGGCTGAGGGCGGCCGAGTTGGCCCTCAGTCTTTCCACGAGACATATGGCATGGGTTATCACATTCCTGCCAGCCCAGTTTTCGAGTTCCATTGCAGAAATACATCAATTCTCAGTTAACCCACGTTCATATGCAGCGACAATATCAGGAGCAGTGGGTAGGAGTTCTTTCCTACTAAACCATCTGGCTTCAGATGGGGGTTGGCACTTGAACTTTACCTTGTACTACTTCTGAGGTCGTCTCCTGCCACCTGTAGAGAAATAGCCATGCTCCAATATTTTCTCAACTTCATAGCCTCCGTTCATAGAGGGTGGAAACATAGATGGCCTATTTGGAAAGTTATCACTTTCTACATAGGGTAGCAGTTTAGACGCATGGGATATTTAGACTTAGCACACACAAAGTCCCCTTCTTGGAACTGTGAGGGACGACGATGTTTATTGACTTGTTCAATCATTTGCAATTGGGATTTCTGTATGTTTTCCTTTACTTTCTTGATGTCTTCTTCGTATAAAACTGCGAATTCACGCGTACCTAGGGATAGCCTCTGCATCTGGTCCCTTATTAATGCATCAATGGGACGCCTAGGCTTCCATCCTTTATGCAGTGCGTTAGGCGTTCTACCTGTGACAGTATGTATACTGTTGTTATATGCACTAGCAATTTTAGGCAAGTTCTAATCCCAGTCAATCTGGTCAGGACGGACGTAATTCGCAAAAGTTGTTGGCAGAGATGATTCATTTGCTCAGTTTGGCCATTCGTTTCAGGATGTCTGCCTGACGACATGGTCAACCTGGTTCCA